TGATAATAGATATTCCCTCACAGTTCCTAGTACACCTTGCTCTTTTCCCATTTAGTTACCAAGGTGTTTGACAATCATTGCTCTAAGAATGTGGCAGCAAAACAGAAATGCAAAGGGAAGAAAGGAGTCATAAACAAACAACTGTGAAAAGTTGTAAGTCATAAATTATTTTATGTTTTCCCCCACCCCATCTCTACCCTCAGCTGCAACTCCACTCCTGGGTTAGAGAAGGATACATTTGATGGGTAGTTGGAAGCACTAGAGTCAGAAGATGAGCACTGGTTAAAACAAAAAGCCCAGATAGTTGCAGACATTAAAGATTAGAGAGTGTCTATGTTGCAATTTTGGGATAAAGACAGACTAGAACTCAGAATTCCTGGCTTGAGTTTTGTGGGAGAGCGTATCGATTCCTGTGTTCTTGAGTGTGGCACGGAGATGGCAGGGAGCATTATCCTTAGCCATAGAGTGTCCCAAATTCCCAGCAGAGCATGTGAGCACATAGACTCCAGATTTCTTAAGAAAGATCTCTGAGTAAGTATCTAAAAGAGTTCCGGACACCAGGGGGCTTTGTTATGATGAATAAAGACCTGCATGGATCAATTATCAAAGACCATATAGTATTAAGAACATTTTGGTAAATGTTGGGGAATAGAGTTGGAAACAATGCAGATCATATGAATATCTCCATTCTGACTTTTTGTCTCTATAGATTTCCCCTGCAAATTATGCCCCAGTCCAGGAAAAGTGCTTGTGGCCTGATGGAAATAAGGTCTTGCAATAGATACTAAGTTGAATTACAGGAAAAAATTTTAAGTCACAATTTATTGTAAAACTAAACTTGTAATATGTTAGTCATGACATTATTTATGTAGTCCAGGGGGTGGAAATAACTGGGAAATGGGGAATTAAGATTTCTGTTCAGTTTTGTTCACATAGTTACTGATGTAAAGGGTGCTACCCAATCAGAATTTGTTTCAGATTCTCTTTTTTTAGATTGAAATATAATTGATTATACATATTTGTGGGCTACAGAGTTGAAGATCATTATCTGTGTATAGTGTGTGATGATCAAGTCAGGATAATTAGCATATTCATCATTACAAAACAATCATTTCTTTGTGTTGATGATATGCAATCTCCTCTTGTCTGGTCATTTGATGACATGCAGTAAATTATTGTTAATTATAGATGCCTAGCTCCACTGTACATCAATTGAGCTTATTTTTCTTAACTAGCTGTTTTGTGTCTATTAACCCATTTCTTGGCTCACCTTCCCCCTTTCCTGGCTCTAGAAACCTGTTTTGTTCTCTCCTTCTGAAAGTTCAATGTATTATTAATGATTTTTTAAAATTATGAATATTTATGAGATAGAAAGCTAATTGTCACCCCTCGTGCCCACGATGCAAGGGCCAGATTCACACTGGGAGCATACCCATC